CAGGTTTAACTTGTTTGATACTAATAAGTTTAGGACCAATTCTCACCAAGTTGTAAACAAAGATCAGGTTTAACTTGTTTAATACAGATAAGTTTAGGACCAATTCTCACCAACTTGTAAACAAAGATCAGGTTTAACTTGTTTGATACTAACAAGTTTAGGACCAATTCTCACCAACTTGTAAACAAAGATCAGGTTTAACTTGTTTAATACACATAAGTTTAGGACCAATTCTCACCAACTTGTAAACAAAGATCAGGTTTAACATGTTTAATACTAACAAGTTTAGGACCAATTCTCACCAACTTGTAAACAAAGATTAGGTTTAACTTGTTTAATACTAACAAGTTTAGAACTAGTTCTCACCAACTTGTAAACAAAGATCAGGTTTAACACAGATAAGTTTAGGACCAATTCACACCAACTTGTAAACAAAGATCAGGTTTAACTTGTATGAAATGTTTATTGTCCCTAGGCATACTTTTGAATCACGTGATTCCCGGGACTTATTATAGTCCTGCGTTTAAGAATGATATTTCACTAAAGCCGCTAGATGGAGCTCCAGTTACCTTAAGCAATAATACAGGTAATTAATAAATTCTTATTACAGAAGTGCTATATTAATTGTCTCTTCTTTTAGAAGGTTGATAATAATTATTCGTGAAGTTTTTATAATGTTCATTTACAATAGTCATGCACGTGTTTTAAATTATGCTGTAAAGCAAATTATAATAAATATTTACATGTCTTTAAATTCTAAAAATGTAAGCCTTTGATTTGATAATAGATTAAGATATTTCCGATCAAGCAAATAATGTGATTTTTGAAATGGATCTTAACTTCAAGCATTACAATATTACAATATTAAGAGCTTGAGTTTCAATTTTAAGCACAACAGTTTGTCAAATTAAACATTGTAATGGTAAGTAAAAACAATTGACGACTACGTGATGGTTTCGGATTAATGAATGAAACTATAAAGAAATAATAATGTTTCTAATCGTTAATCTACACTTGAGTTTCCTAAATCTACACGTGTATTTTAAGGGTTTTTTTTTCTTTCTCATACTATTTTTCTTATAATCATATTCAGGTGTTATGCTTGTGAATAAAATTCCCATTGTACGACCGGATATAACAATTAGTAACGGTGTGATTCACGCTATAAATGGTATTCTTCTGCCTCGAGACATTTTTGGTGGGTGCAGATGTCTTCCCCGGGAACGCGAAAATGATCTGGTCCCAGAGTTTCCGTCGGAGCATGAGAGGGAAAGTCCTCTAACCACGCCTTCTTCTCCTACTTCAAAGACTACAAAACCATACGAAATCATTTCTCCATCAGGAAGAAAAAGACCTTCAGCTTCTACATCCTCACCAGAATCAACTCCTCAACCACCACAAAACCAGCGAGATACAACAACTGAACCAAAAACAAGTGAATCTGACGCAACAACTCAACCATCACAAAACCAGCCGGATACAACTACTCAACCATCACAGAGCAAGCCGGATACAAAAACTCAACCAACACCAAGAGCATCCGAAACAACAAATCCACCTTCAAAGAGACAAACGGAACCAACCACCCCCTCAACATCAAAAGATCCAAAGCCAACTACTCCTCCCTCAAAAGAGCAAACGCCAACTGTTCCTCTAATCCTATCCAGAAGACTAAACACAGATACTTCATCTTCAACTGAACACTCTACGACTTCTTTTTTACCCTCCGAACAACCTTATCAGACAAAAGAACCACCAACACAGAATGATCCAGTTAATTCTGTTTCTTCTTCCACTCAAACTTCACCCGATGATTTAACTGATGTACCAGATGATATGTCAATGAAAACTTCTACTAATACTCAAATGGATGACAAAGAAGAAGAAACAACATCAGATGAGATCTCTACAGAAACCTCATCAAAATATGATGAAAAACAAACTAGTGATTCTACAAGCACTCTGACTTCTATTATAACAACTAAAGATACAATAGAAGACACAGATGTTCAATTAACCAACAGAAAACCAAAGAAACCCGATACTATTGATAACCCCAAAAACACGCCAAAGAAAGAAGACAGCCAGAATCCTACAGATACCACAACAAATAAAGAAGACAGCCAGAATCCTACAGATACCACACCAATTAAAGAAGACAGCCAGAATCCAACAGAAAGCACACCAACTAAAAAAGATAGCCAGAATCCAACAGAAACCACACCAAGTAAAGAAGACGATCAGAACCCGACAGAAACCACACCAAGTAAAGAAAACAACCAGAACCCGACAGAAACCACACCAACTAAAAAGATAGCCAGAATTCAACAGAAACCACACCAAGTAAAGAAGACGATCAGAACCCGACAGAAACCACACCAAGTACAGAAAACAACCAGAACCCGACAGAAACCACACCAACTAAAAAAGATAGCCAGAATCCAACAGAAACCACATCAACTAAAAAAGATAGCCAGAATCCAACAGAAACCACACCAACCAAAAAAGATATTCAGAATCCAACAGAAACCACACCAAGTAAAGAAGACAGCCAGAACCCGAAAGAAACCACTACAAGCCAAAAAGACAACCAGAACCAGTCAGAAACCACTCCAAGTAAAGAAGACAGCCAGAACCTGAAAGAAACCACATCAAGTAAAGAAGCTAGCCAGAACCCAACAGAAACCACACCAAGTAAAGACAACAGCAAGAACTCGAAAGAAACCACTCCAAGTAAAGAAGACAGCCAGGACCCGAAAGAAACCACTACAAGCCAAAAAGACAACCAGAACCCGACAGAAACCACTACAAGTAAAGAAGACAGCCAGAACCCGAAAGAAACCACAACAAGCCAAAAAGACAACCAGAACCCGACAGAAACCACTACAAGTAAAGAAGCTAGCCAGAACCCAACAGAAACCACACCAAGTAAAGACAACAGCAAGAACCCGAAAGAAACTACTACAAGCCAAAAAGACAACCAGAACCCGACAGAACAGTCACAACCAAATCAAGAAAAGGAAGATAACCATGAGAAGCCACTCAACGAACCAGAAGATAACGATGAACAAAATCCTGATAAACTCACGCCAAGAAAACGTGGTAATAAAAATCCGCCAAGCTTCTCACCAGAAAAACCACGTGGTCAACAACAACCAACAGCAGAAGATGAGAGAGAAAATCCAAATAAAATCACACCAAGAAAAAATGGACAATATCCGCCAAATCCTACAGAAAGAGAATACCCATCGTTTCCCTTACCAGGAGAAGGAGACAAACAGAAGCCGCCATTTACTTCAAAAGAAGAAGAAGATGCCGAAAACCAACCTAACGCGAACCCAGAAGAAGAAGATCAAACACAGAGACAAGGAAGAACCATTTTTGAAATCATCGTATATCCAGGATTATTCATAAGAGGAAATCCTATAGGCCTTAATATTATACGTCAACTTTTTGAGACAGCAGGACTTTTGGAGGATATGAAGAAAAGAGGTAATAAAAATTTACTGTTCTTAAGTTATTGACAATAAAAAACGTACTAAGAAATGATTGCTTTCGTCCTTTGTGTACGTTCTCTTCTGTTTAGTGATTTTAACTTTTAACAGTATAAAACCTGAACAATCCCTAAGATAACTGGATAAGGTGCAAGATACATTTAGTGCATTCTCTGTTCCGCTCTTTGGCTTTGGGTAAAATTGCAAGAAATATATTTAATTACCACATTGACCCGAATTTAAAGTGGCCTCGAATTCAACGTGACCTTACTTTTCCTATAGAAAAAAATTAAGTTTCTTAGTGTAGATCTAAGCATTAATAAGACGATATGATAAAGCAGATACTACAACTTAAGCAAAAAATGGGAAAAAATAAACTTTTTTTTACAAACCATTAGGGGGCGCCAGCGATACAATTTTTTGATTCAGTAAAACTCTGTTAGTCTGTTGTAGTCCAAAAGTCCAGAGTTGTGTGAATCCCTCATGTTTTGTACACACACTTGAGTGTCGGTATTATGACAGTAAGTTTCTGTCAAAAATTATTATTTCCCAACAGTGATTAAGCACGTGAACTTGACTTGAAGTATAGTCCGCGCATATAGGGCGAGTTGTAGCTAGCGATTTATTGAGACCTTAGTGTTCGTGAATAATTTTCGCGATCTGTACAAATGCTTTAATTAATGATTTTGCAGCAATGTAAAAGGTTTTGGTTGGGATAAACTGAACACTGTCAGTTATCAAGCTAACAAACAGTACATATTTCAGACCCGTTGACAGTTTTCCTGCCAACAGACGAAGGGTGTTTGCTGTTGCCAAGCGACGTTTTGAACAACTTAAAGAACAATCCGCCAGAGTTAAAGCGGTTCCTTCGTCATCACATTCTTGGAAAACCTTTGTATCCTCAGAACATCCAAAACAACATGATCGAGACCAGCGCTGAGGGAATTGGAATACCACTCAATCTGTTTAACAGAGGAAAGGTGAGTATAGCTTTCGATTAATCAAAATAAAAGTTTGGTTTAATGGAACTTTTGTTAAAATTTCGATTGTATGTCCTGCCCGCTACTGGTCATTGCAGTGTACCGTTATTCTACATTACTTAGAACATTATTTCCTACAGTTGCTGTATATTATGTTGTACAGTGTTCTTATAGTTGCTGTATATTATGTAATACAGTGTTCTTATAGTTGTTCTATGTTATTTAGTGCTGCACTAAATAACATAGAACAACTATAAGAACACTGCACTAAATAACATAGAACAACTATAAGAACACAGTGTTCTTATAGTTGTTCTATGTTATTTAGTGCAGTGTTCTTATAGTTGTTCTATGTTATTTAATGCAGTGTTCTTATAGTTCTTCTATGTTATTTAGTGCAGTGTTCTTATAGTTGTTCTATGTTATTTAGTGCATTGTTCTTATAGTTGTTCTATGTTATTTAGTGCAGTGTTCTTATAGTTGTTCTATGTTATTTAGTGCATTGTTCTTATAGTTGTTCTATGTTATTTAGTGCAGTGTTCTTATAGTTGTTCTATGTTATTTAGTGCTGTGTTCTTATAGTTGTTCTATGTTATTTAGTACAGTGTTCTTATAGTTGTTCTCTGTTATTTAGTGCAGTGTTCTTATAGTTGTTCTATGTGATTTAGTGCAGTGTTCTTATAGTTGTTCTATGTTATTTAGTGCAGTGTTCTTATAGTTGTTCTATGTTATTTAGTGCAGTGTTCTTATAGTTGTTCTATGTTATTTAGTGCTGTGTTCTTGTAGTTGTTCTATGTTATTTAATGCAGTGTTCTTCTTATTTGTTATGTAAGACACATTCATAACTTGAGAACTGTACTTTTGTTATGTAAGACACATTCACAACTTGAAAACTGTACTTTTGTTACGTAAGACACATTCACAACTTGAAAACTGTACTTTTGTTACGTAAGACACACTCACAACTTGAAAACTGTACTTTTGTTACGTAAGACACATTACTGTTTTATCTCTTCTCTTGTAGACTATTCTTGCAGGAGGTTCCCAAGTTCTTGCTGCCACAAATGCCATCAATGGAGTCGTGTATGTCATTGACAAACCTTTCTATCCCATTCCCTCGACAAACGTGGTCAAGTGTTTAACTGATAATCCAGGCTTCACTCTATCGGAGCCTTTGGTCACTCAGTCTGGGATCAACAATCTTCTACAAGGTCAGTGAACATTACTACATGACGTATGCTTTACCTAACACGTCATTGTTGGAAGGAAATCATATTCCTAGTTACTTATGTGTGGACAAACAATAGAATCAAAACGTAAATCTACTGTTGCCCAGCAACATATGCTGTTATAAAGTTCTTGTTATCTGTTTTCTACCAGCTAAAGGTTATCGGTAGGATCATAATTCTGTTATCATGTTTTCTACCAGCTAAAGGTCATCAGTAGGATCATAATTCTGTTAATTGTTTTCTATCAGCTAAAGGTCATCGGTAGGATCATGATTCTGTTAATTGTTTTCTATCAGCTAAAGGTCATCGGTAGGATCATGATTCTGTTAATTGTTTTCTACCAGCTAAAGGTCATCGGTAGGATCATGATTCTGTTAATTGTTTTCTATCAGCTAAAGGTCATCAGTAGGATCATAATTCTGTTAATTGTTTTCTACCAGCTAAAGGTCATCGGTAGGGTTGTAAATCTATTATTTCATTTTTATTAGCTGAAAGTCATCCTTATAGACATAATGTTATGTGTTTTGGATTAGCTAATCAGTAGACTTATGAATATATTATCTGTTTTTTTTTACCAGCTAAAGGTCCTTTCACTATGTTCATGCCTGCTGACGAAGCCTTCTCTAGAATAAAAAGAACCACGCTGAGGAATATGATGTCCAACAGAAATGTTCTAGATGGTAATATTTTGATACAATTAGATACATGTCAACTTTGAACCACTTTTGAACACAGCTAATAGAGTATTTCACTATAAAAATGCTTACTGAAACCTGTCTCAAGAAAGTATTTACGTGACAGCAATGTTTACTAAAACCTCTCTCAAGAACGTATTTCTGTTTAAACAATTCTTACTGACATTTATACCGGGAAAGAATTTATGTTACAACAATGTTTACTAAAACCTCTTTCTTAAGCGTTAGTATATTAGTATATTCTGTGGATATTTACAGGAATCAAAGGACGAAAAATTAAAAACAAATGCTCCTTCATTCACATGTTATGTTTGTTTTTACACGACACTAATTTCAGTTTTTTCCAACATTCAGATTTCTTGATGAGCCATATTGTCCCAGGAGCTCATTACAGCAGAGAGTTTAGGACTAATTTAATTCTTCCAACGTTAAACGGCAGAAGGATACAAATATTTGTTTCTCCAGGTAGGACGACCCAATTGTCTGTCTATAAATAGGTTTACAAAATAAAGAACTTGTATAAATATGTCACTTTTTTTTCCGTAAAGAACATATACACATATTAACACAGTTTAGATGTATTCTGAACTTTAACTATCCTGTTTTTCAGATGGACAAATCATGTTGAATGGCGTGAGGGTGGTAAGTAAGGATATTCCAGCAGGAAATGGAGTTGTCCACAAGATTGGGGGGGTTCTTGACTTGCCACAAATAAATACAACGCCATATCCAGATCAGACGATTTCAGAGAGACGTAAGAAGAATTGACTGTCATTACACTTGTTTTGTTTTAACACTGTAATATATTTCCAAATTGACTGTCATTACACATGTTTTATTTTAATACTATAATATATTTCTAAATTGACTGTCATTACACGTGTTTTATTTTAATACTGTAATATATTTCTAAATTGACTGTCATTACAAATGTTTTATTTTAATACTGTAATATATTTCCAAATTGACTGTCATTACATATGTTTTGTTTGAACACTGTAATATATTTCCAAATTGACTGTCATTACATTGTTTTATTTTAACTACTATAATATATTTCCAAATTGACTGTCATTACACTTGTTTTGTTTTAACACTGTAATATATTTCCAAATTGACTGTCATTACATGTTTTGTTTTAACACTGTAATATATTTC